CCCCAATTTTATGTCTCAATCCATAATGGGATGAGCCATTGGGGTTGGAATATTCTTAAATTCCCTTCCAGAATTCCTTGATCCCACATTCCCTCGTTGCCTTTGGAGCATCCAGCATCCCTCCCATGGGATGGCTCCTGCTAAATCCCAAAAAATCCCCAAAAAACCCCAAATTTGGCTGTAAAAACCCCCAATTTTATGTCTCACTCCATAATGGGATGAGCCATTGGGGTTGGAATATTCTTAAATTCCCTTCCAGCATTCCATGATCCCACATTCCCTCGTTGCCTTTGGAGCATCCAGCATCCCTCCCGTGGGATGGCTCCTGCTAAATCCCAAAAAATCCCAAAAAAACCCCAAATTTGGCCGTAAAAAACCCCAATTTTGTGTCTCACTCTGCCCTTCCCAATGAAATTAAAAGTCACTCGTGGCCCTTGAGCCCAGCCGGGAATTTCAGGATTTTTTTTCCTGGAAGGAAAATTTTGGGACTGGATTTTAGGAGCAGGAATTCACCTGATTCCCCGGCTTCATCCTGGGATTTTTAACCCCCAAAATTGGATATTTCTGAATTATTCCTGAATAAATCTAATTTCCTGCTATCCATGACCTGCATGACCATGGAGATATTTTTTTAAACTGTGGAAAATCCATCTTGGAAAAAAATTTGACCTTTTCCCTTTTAAATTGATTTTTCCCATTTTTAAATGGATTTTTTTCCACTTTTGAAATGGATTTTTCCCTTTTGAAATTGATTTTTTTTTCCCTTTTGAAATGGATTTTTTTCCCTTTTTAATTGAATTTTTTTCCCTTTTTAAATGGATTTTTTCCCTTTTAAATTGATTTTTTCCCTTTTAAATTGATTTTTCCCTTTCCAAATGGATTTTTTCCCTTTTTAATTGATTTCCCTCTTTTTAATTGATGTTTCCCTTTCTAAATTGATTTTTTTCCCCTTCTTAAACAGACTTTTCCCCTTTATAATTGATTTTCCCCCTTTTTAAATGGATTTTTTCCCTTTCTAAATGGATATTTCCATGTCTGAATGGATTTTTTCCCTTTTAAACTGATTTTTTTTCCCTTTTAAAATGGATTTTCCCCTTTTAAATTTATTTTCTCACTTTTAATTTATTTTCTCCTTTTAATTGATTTTTTTTTTTCCTTTGGAAGTGGATTTTTCAGTTTTTAATTGATTTTTTCCCTTTGAAATAGATTTTTTTCAATTTCTGAATGTTTTTTTCCCTTTTTAATTGATTTTTTCCCTTTTAAAATG